AGCCCTCCAATCAACAAGCACTCCAACCCAAAATGCCAAAACCATCTGGATGACTCAGAAGCAACCAACAACAAAAGAGGTAAGACACAAACTTACTACCATACATGTTTCCTCTTACGTCAAATTGAATTATGATTAATATGAGAAGCTCTCATATGGCTTTAAATCTATCATATGGCATACATATGAGAATATTAAGTTTAATCTAACATCACATAATTGTAAAAATATGATAAAATGATAATCCTAAGTTGTTATCACTTACTCATATGACTTAGACTAATAATGAATTGATAATTACTACACTACTAAAATTTACAATGCTTGGTTCTATAATTCTTAACAAAAGCACACTAATTTAACATTTTTACAAAGGTAGATTAAGCCATGGATAAGTTTATTGCATATTATAATTATCTTTTTTATTTATGGAGAAATTATAAAATAAACTAAAAGTAAATTTTCTTCAAGTTAAGATGTAAATTTCAATCTTTATTGTCATAGACAACACTACAATTTTATTGATAATAGTGGTCAAGTAATAATTAAAAAAAAAAAAGTAGAAAGAAATATAGAGGAACGAAAACTAGAATGAGAAATGAGATTTTACTAGTTTGTTCGACAGTACAAAGCTTAGGCTTCATTTGGGACTGCTTATTTACTGCTTATTAAAGCGGTTTTTTATAAAAAAAATTAATTTTTATACTAAAAAGTCGTATTAAGCAGCAGTAAAAAAACCGTCCCAAATAAAACTTTAATCAAATTATTGAATGGTCTGATTCATTATTTATTGATAAAATTGGATAACATTGCTTAATAAGTTATTGCTTTGGAATGGACGAACTAAGATAGGTTGTCAAAATCTCTTGCAACATCATATGTCAATTTCAATGAAACTTGTAAGTTTTAATGAGTAGTTTTGAGACCTTGGATGAATTCAATTGGAGCTTGACGACTTGTTAGACTTTGCTTAGCCTTTTAGCCATATTTGATGGAACTTTTATTTGGTCCGGTGTAAGGATGCAGAGGAACATCCGGTCGTAGGCAAAATCCCGCTTATACCGAGGTGTACCGAGTTTTTCCAAAAAACTCGGTACACCTCGGTATAGGCGGGATTTTGCCTACGACCGGATGTTCCTCTGCATCCGGTCGGAGGACGTAATAATTGTTCTATTTGATGAGTTAAATTGCATTAGAAGCCTTGAACTCGACCTACTGAGATGAGCTTATTTGACTTGAACTTGGCTCAGCTCTATTTGGGATCACAATCCCAACGTAGAATAGACTCATTTGCTACATTTAACAAATAATATATATTTTTTTCTGAACTAGAGAGGATTCCATTCGTACACATCAAGGAATCGTCAATATTAAGAATTTAAATTTTTTTAGGAGTCTAGGGACTTTCGTTAATTATTATCCTATTTTATTTAGAATCCCAATGAAAAAAAATTATAAACGAATTCTAAATAATAATAATTGTAAAAGTAACCAGCAAGCAAGTTTCTATTTCATCAATTATACATTTTCTTAATAATGTTTCTGCATCATCCATTATGAATTCTTTTGTCAATTCGAAGCATCAAACTGTACCATTTATGTATTCATAATAAAATCATGGGAGGACCAATTTTATGCCATCAATTTTATAATATTCAATTATTTAATAGATAAATTATATCAAAGGCCTTTCAAGGGGATAACTACTGTTGTACCGATCTCTTATAAATATTGGATGCTGTTTTGAGTGGATCGGGCCTTATAATTTCTTCCTATGTAGTTGTATCAAACAATTACAAAACTAATGATTGCTCATGTAGGATATATAAAAAACTAGCAGAAAATTTACTCTCCTATTAACTCTGTTAGATCCGGGAGGATATATACAAGTATTCACTATCAATTGAAAAAAGTTTCAAAATGACTTTTAATTAGATCAACCCCTTATTTATGGGACTTTAAGGGCAACATAAAAGCCACACAAAAGGTACACCGCTAGATAAAATTCCCATAGAGTGATACATTCTCCTAGACACGTGTCACTCTCTGATTGACTGAAGGAGGGCAAGACCAAAAGGCTTAGGCAAGTCTTATCTAGGCAAGCTTTATGAAGCTAAGCAGATGAGGGCGAGAGTGCTAGGGCAAATCTGCAGACGAAAATCATGAAAAAAGGGGCCAACAGTTGGTGAATTGGTTGGTGTGGCCGGCGACATGTGGAACTTTGGGATCTCCCTGAGGAGAGTAGGGTGAGTAATATGTTATATAGGGAAGGGAGAGCTATGGCTTGGATGGTTGTTGTGAGTTAAATTGAGGGTCCTGTAGGTAAGTACCGTCATGTAGTTGAGTTTGGTGAGAACAATTGCTTGGAAGAGAGAGAGAGAGAGAGAGAGAGAGAGAGAGAGAGAGAGAGAGAGAGAGAGAGAGAGAGGCTGTGATATGGTCTAGAAGCATAGAAGGTGCCGAATTGCTAAATCTGGAGAGGTTTCATCAATCTGTTATGTGCAAGGCGAGCTATAGGGGAGTCTTAGGTGAGTTACACTCATTGTTCATTGCTGGCGTGTTCTCCCGATGGCCCCCATTTGAGGGCGAGTTTCTTTGTCGTGATTCATCAGCTATCCGTTAAAAACTTGTAAAAATATATGCAGATATATATTCTTGATTTCATACACATGATAGATAAATTATTAGAAGAAACGTGGTGTATGACTACTTTATGAGCAATTTTTAATCTTATTACTCCTCATTTTTATATGTTCAATACATATATTTTCTTAAGTAAAATGAATATTATCGATAAGAATGACACTCTAATATAAGATGACCGAGTCAAACAATAACAATGTGAAAATAAAACTCTAATATAAGATGACCGAGTCAAACAATAACAATATGAAAATAAAATATTGGAGTCAACATTTTAAATAGGCTAAAATTTTATTAAATAAATATCAATCTCAATACCACATCACTCATTTTGAGAATTAACTTAAATATCCTTTTAAGAAGTTATTTTCTTGCCCAATTCAAACTTATTTTGAAAGTAATCCTTTTTGTTTTTTGACTTTTGCTTCTTTTTAACATGAGAAACATGAACTTCAGATAAATGCAATCACTATCAATGATATATCTTTATGAGACATAATTAGATAATAATATAGTCAAATAAACAAGCAATATCAATTTTATCCATTAGATTTTTTTTAAAAAACAAGAAAAAGGATTTGGAGATATGAAATTGTGAAAATTATGTATAGAAGTGTGAACTATCTACACATCCAGCTTCATAAGAAAAAAATCATCATGAGTAAAAATCAACCCATCAGCACAGTTCCAATCCTCGACCTCAAATACAATAATATTTTAGCTCTCTGCTTCAAGAGGGTTTTCACAAAAAATGAAGACCCAAATTGCTCAATTTTACATATTTCCCTGATATTTCTACCAATACACAACGCCAAAGAATCCTCATCCATTAAAATATCAAGATCCACACTAACAATCCCACTACTCAAAATCAATCGATCTTCAACGATCAATTCACTAGAACAAATCACGGAGGTCAAGCAATCAATTTTGCAAGCTACAATCATTAAAGAACTGTTAGCCCAGCTCATCTAATAACTTCTGCAACATTGAGAGGATTCCAAATCTTAAAAATCAACCTGCCTTCGATCTTATGGCTTAAACTAATGCACGTTTTTGTTTGAAAAAGGAATAATTTTGGCCACTTCTGGTACTGCGCTTATTTTGTTTATAATCTCCATGGAAAAATTAGTAAAACGAAGAAGCAGCGAATTAAATTCCTTCATCATGAATCCCTATTAAAGTACAAAATGATTCTGTATATGGAACTTCCTCGCTATCTCCAAAAACATCCAGTAGGCTGTGTACACATATAGCGGATTACCCTACTTATGTCTCTTAAAATATAAGAGACTAATAAGCTGCTTCATTAAACTAATCACTTCTAGACTCTTGACCAAAACTCTAAAATATTTAATTTCACCCAACACATATTATTGATGCAAAATTTTCGACAAAACAACCAACAAAACGAGAGGTGCCTTCTAATTTGTCTTCTACCGCTAATTGCTTGTTAAAAAATACAATTAGTCATATAATTATCCTCGACAGCACGATTAGAACAAGTATAATATATAAGCTCTCACCTAAAACTTTCTCACTGTCCTCGCAAAAAGCCATGGCCTCATACTAATCATGCGATAACCACTCTATTAAGTCACGCCATTGTATCTTATTAAAATCAGAGAGAACTGAGCAACCAAACGCGAAATAGCAGTGCTTGTCTTACTTGTTGGCTAACACAGCGCATAGTCTGTCATATTCTAATGCGCAGAGTGAGTGCACATTAAACATACTGTAAAAATGCTGTGAGGCATCCGATGGAAGAATTATCATCCAATTAAAAAATATTTGGGATTGTGAGGTACTCTTCATTCCGGAAATTTATTCTGTGCGGACGCCGAACGTAATTTATCATCCGGAGACCATTCAAAATGTGTCACGTCAGCAGTGCCGAGCACGATACCAAGCGCGGTACCGAGGTACCACCGATCGGAGGTGATGTGCTGCATTCTGATTGGTCTCTGGACGGCGTTCGTAAGAGTAAAAAAAATCAAGTAAAGACTGAAGAACTTTTTTAGCTTTTAATAGACAAATGATTAAAAAAAAGGAGTATTTTAGTAGAAATATAATATATCAAAATTTTGTCTTGACATAAATAGTGTTTTTAAATAATATATTATAGTATAAGATAATTGATTTATAAAAAGGAACCCCGGTCTTGGAGAAGGCCAAAGTTACACGTAGCTTTGGTCAACCGAAGCAACTCATAATTATTGATCAATATTTACAGGTTAGCGTTAGTTAGATGCCCCATGGTGGGTCCGAAAATCATTAAGCTAATAAGACCAGCCTTCTTTCTTTCTCTTTCTCACCTCTCCTGATCGGGCCCAACGATGAGTTTTTCTTCTATTTATCTACCAGCCTCCCCCACAATCCCACCCCTCCCCACAGCTTGAGCTTGAGCCACCAAGTAGCAGCCAGTAATCCCGAAAGCCTTTCCTTTTCTAATTTTTCTTCTCCTTTGTAGCTTATCCTTCCGTGCTTCCAATTTTTGTATGGCTTAGCTTCTCTTTTTTTTAAAGTGATGTTATTAGTCTGTTGTACTCTGAATATATAGCTTATGAGGTTAACGATTCGTCTTCCTCGTTGCAATCTTTCTTTAGCTGCTTAGCCACCACCCTCTTTCCCCGTTCAAGTCTGTAGGAGAAAAAGTTACTTTTGTGTCACTAAATCTTATTTCAGATGGGTAATTATAGGTTCAAACTCTCTGACATGGTGCCGAATGCCTGGTTCTACAAGCTCAAAGACATGAGCAAAACAATAAAAAGTAAGAGCAAAGGACACCATCCAAGAAATAATCAGAATTCATTCGAAATCCAGCAGAACTCCAAGCCCCAAAAGGACGCCTTGCTCCCCAGCAGAGCCTCCTACTATTTCTCAAGCAGAGAAGAAGCAGAGAAGCCTCATGTCTCACCCCTGCACCCCAGGGCCTCCGACACTCTCTTCCCACAAGAATCACCGAGGTTGTGCAAGAAGAGAAGCAGAAGAAAACCCCATAGCCCCTCCTCAACGCTCATCGCCTCCTCCATATCCTCAGGCCGCAGCCGTCTAGTCTGGGAAGAGCAACCCATCCCTCCTGAAAACGACAATGTGGAAGCTCTTATTGATGCAATCTGCAGCTACAAGCTAAGTTCTTCTTGTTCTAAATTGCCTGAATTGCAATTAGAACTCCCTCCAATTATGACAAAACCGCTGAAGAAAGAAGCTGAGCAGACTAAAGTCAAGGAGAAAAAACAGAGCAATAGCATTGCGAGGAGATCGCCAACAGGAATTCACCGGCTTCGAATGCGCGCAAGCTCTCCAAGAGTTGTGGCAACGAAGAAGGTTCAAGTGAGCCGAAAGAGCGTTTCAAAGCAGCAGAAGGGGATCTCCTCAAAAAGTTTCGCAGTAGTGAAGTCATCAACAAATCCTCAGAAGGACTTTAGGGACTCCATGGTTGAAATGATCAGAGAGAACAACATAAGGACCTCCAAGGAATTGGAAGAGCTGCTCGCCTGCTACCTCTTGTTGAATGCAAATGAATATCATGATGTTATTATTAAGGTGTTCGAGCAAATCTGGTTTCATCTCACTGACATTAGCTTGTAAAATTTATAACTGACGCTGCTCTGTTTGTTTCTTATAATGTTGAATCAGTAGTACAAAGATGTTATGAATGTTGTTGGCTCTTTTTGTTTCTTCTCATGTGAAAGGAGGATGGCTTCTCAAGCTACCTGAACCTTTTATTGAGCGCATTAACTCTCTTTGTTTTCTCATTAATGTGAAGGTCAGGTCCTTTTCCATGGATTTTTTTATTGTTTTTTATTTTTGTGAAGAACCTTTGAAAACTCAAGTCTAATTCTTAGAGGAAGCATTCATGGCTCTTCTACCTGTCAGTAGCGAGAGGATAACTGAACACTTCTGATACACTTCTGATAGGAGCAAAAGTGAAAGAGAAACAGTAAGGTCACTACAGGCACAAATTTCTTAGCGATTTAGCGAAGAATTATTTAGTTGCACATTTTATTTTAAATATAGTTATAAAATATGCTCATATTAGGTCTTTTAAATACCAAAAAGTTATTAGTAGAAAAAATATATATATTATGGTTTGTGTGCTGAGAATTTTGTGGTTGTAAAATTGTAATAATAATTTAATATTTTAAGATTATTCAAAGATGTTCAAATAGATAAATTGAGAGCAATACATAAATGACACATTATTTTTTATATGAAAAGTGAGAAAAATTATAGTTTAACATAGTTAAAATAATTCTACCACTTTGAGTCTAGAGCTACAAAGGCAACAATTAAAAAGGTGTTTTTTTTTTTCTTTTTTTCATCATTCTTTTTTTCTATAATCATTAATCAGGAACAAGAAAGGTGTCTCATTTGGTGGTATTATGAGGAGATTTTAGGTGCCAATGTTATTATTGAGCGATCTATTTCAAATAATAATTAATGACAAATGTTATAATTAAGCTAGAGAACAGAGGGTGGTTGATTTGATCGTTATCATATAGAAGGGGAGGTCAAGCTATCAGGAGCATGAGAGTTAAAACCTAGTTATTTGCTGTGTTAGATATTGGTTTTTGATAGGTGTTTAGTGACAATCAAAAAGAGCATTAGAAGCCAACAAATGAACAATAGGTAGCTTAATTGCTCCCCCGGTAGAAGATAAGACCAAGCAATTGGTAGTACGTACCAGCACAAATATTGGTGGCTAACAAACATTAGTTGTTAGTCATTGGCAAGTTTTATATAACATTTGTAGTTATGAAACCTTGTTTGATGGCCTAAGATCTAAGAGAAAAATTAATTAATTCCTAATCCTAAATTTCTCAAGCCATCTAATAATCCAAAAATAATTTGAGAATTTTCCTGATTTTTGTGTCTTGTAAATGGTTGGGCCATCTTCGTGGTTATTGTGATTTGGCTCCTCTGTCTAATTCTACTATCCCTCTGGTTGGAAATGTTAAGAGTCTTGCTTTAGGTGTTTCTTCTATGGCTGTTCCTGAGGGGTCGGTTGGGGAGGACCTGATTTCTATGGTTAATTCAGCTTTAGATGAAGTTGTTTGTGAGGTGGGTTATGGGGCTTTGGCTGACCCGCTTGTTATTTCGGTTAAGGAAAATGTTGTCTGTGGTTGTTTAATGAGTGTAAGGAAGCTGTTATTTTAGACTTGGGGGCATGGATTTTTTTACTGAGGATGCTACGTGCCCTCCCTCCACTTTCCCTTCTCATGCTAGTGTTGGTGAGGAGGAAGTCATCTTTTCAAATTTGGTTTTGCCTGTATCTTTGCCTGTTAATTCGAAGGGTGATTTGGCCTTGGTTAATGCTGATGTTCCCGCGGCTTCAAGTTCGTTAGGTCCAGTTCTGTCCCCGATTGTCCCGGCTGTGGTGGGGGGAGGGGATCCTCTGTCTGTGAAGAATGGTTGTGTGAATTTAAATGTTGCTCTTTGCGGTGTGAATTATGTTGTTTCTCCTTTATCTAACGGTGGTGTGGAGTCTTCTGAGGCTACTGTTGGAGGTGGTGTTAATTAAGGTGAAGGTATTGTGGTTATTCCTAATTCCTTTGTTGATGTGCCAGTGAACTTAATCGAGCCCCAATCTTTAGTGTATCATGTGGTAGATAATTCTAGGGTGGATGTGAGGGTACATCTTGATTGGCTTCATTATACGTCAGAATTTTAATCCGATTCCGATTCTTCTTCGGAGTCTTGTGGAGGTGTTGATCCTGGACATGATTTTAAATTGGTGAGTGACAGACCGGTTGTTTCTGTCACCTCTCGTGGGAGGGCCAGATGGGGTAGGTAGTTTTCCTCCCGAGTTGGTTGCCTTCTTGTCTCTCTGGTTGGATCTTTGGAGCTCCGTTTTATTTTTCTGTTGGCCGTTAGTTTTGTCAGGCAATGAAGTGGCTGTGGCTCGTTTCTTCGTCGTCATAGCTCGTGGCAACCTTTGGTGTTGGTCTCGGTTGGGTTGGCTGGTCGGTTGGCTTCTTCGCGCTTATCTTCACCAAATTGGATGGTCTGTGCTTGACTTCGGGGAAGCTGGGAGCCTCGGCCGATTATTGAGCCCTTCAGATTGATTTCACATTGTATTTTCTTTTGCTTTCTTGTCTTTTGCTACATTACTTCATGTACTTCTTTTTTTGCTTTAAAAAATTCCGACCGGTAAAATCGTCGCAGAATATAGTCAAATCGTGTACAATAATCATATCTATAACATACTAAAAGTTGTGCGGTGAAAGTTGTGTCAAATCAGAATCACGTCCAAAAGTCGACTACGAAAACACAAAACAGATCACAACTCGGTCAAAACTCAATATCTTTGAAAACAGAAATAGGATTCGGAGTCCTTACCACGAGATCTACACTTTTCCCAACAACAGCGTCGGACGAAAAGCGCTCTGCGGCCTCCAAAACCCAGCTTTCCTCTTTTTCCCTTTCTCTTTCTCTCTCCTCAAAATATCTGATTTTTATAAAATGATTTTATCTCTCCTCAAAACGAGCTGATTTTCTTATATCCTTAAGCTGATCGGCCCGGCCGATCGCCAAATCGTCCCAGGACGATCAGACCAAAAATATCGTTCTGGACGGTTCCCAGAACTATTTTCAGGACGGTATTTTCTACTGTGCCGATCGGCCTGGACGATCTCAAATCGTCCTGGACGATCCTGAGAGGAAAATCCAAATCAGAGAGGAACAGTAAGGGAACGAGGTCTGACAAGTGACTCCTTATTAGTTCTAAAAACAATGTGAAGAAATGAAGCGAGGCAAAAAGAGAGTGCGAGAAAGATATTTGTATAATTTCTCTCGATTTTCATATTGAATTTCTTGATGTTAAAAAAAAAAAAACGAGAGCATGTTCAAAATTTTATTTCCAAAAGAACAATTTACAAATAATCTAGTACACTTGCATTTTATGCATTAAAATATAAAAGTTGGATTACAAAATACCTTAACGGAAAATCCTTATTGATTTGTTACACGTGGCTCACTACCGGGACTTTTCCTTTCTTTGAAATGTTAAATATCAATAAAATGAGCATTTCAACTCGGTAAGCATACCCAAATCTTATTAGAATTCAATATACATAGTTTGTCATGTATATATATATATATATATGAAAGCTCTGAATATACAGGAACTAGAAATAAACTCATACTATAGAACTATATATATCTTAAACAAACATCATACTATAGAACTACTAAAATATCTGAAGTACTAGAAATAAATTCATTCATAAAATCTTTTTCATTTCATTAGAATGAATATACAGGAACTACATTATAGTACATGACTATAAATTATATAAAGCAGAGTAAAATATAATCAAAGCTAGCAATGATTGTACGGAAATTGAAATAAAAAAAACCTATATGGACTCGTATTAGATCCTAAATTACTAATACGCATGCTCTTTTTCTTTTCAGATCCTGAAAATATGCAAAATTACAGTGAACTATAACAGCTCGGCAGATCACAAACAATGATCTCAAAATTAATTTTTCATTAAACATTTTTAAAATATTTAAATGAAGTTAAATGTTGTATAAAAAATAAATGTGCTAAGCAGCGTAATAAGAGCATAGGAGTTATCCAAAGATTCAAATAATACTGAGCGGTTAATTATACTGAAATTCATATTATAGAATAGTTTATATAATATATTTCTCTGGTCCCAAATAGAATCTTACAAGATTCTGACCCCCTATGACTCTCAACGGAATTTTTCTTTTTCCAAATAAAATCTCGAAGAATTCTGATTCCTTATGACTCGTAATAAACAGATTTTTTTTTTATATTCAGATTCTCGATCACAAGCAAAATCCTAAAGAATCCTCATCTCCCAACATTCAATATAAAAACTATTCAATATCACATAATTCAACTATATATACACATATCACATTGTAGTAATTTAAGCATAATTAGGCACTTTTTTCAAAATGGTAGGAAATAGAAATTTCTATCGAGTAAAAATGCATAGTTTCAAAATATAAATAAATTACTAGAGATTATATAAAATATAATTTTAAGACTTTAATTGTATGATGATTAAAGTCTTATAATGATGTTTTACATAATCTCTTGTAATTTGATTTTGTTTGAAACTTATGTATTTTTGCTCAGTAACATTTTTGTTACCTAGCGTTAAGGCATTTTGGTAATTTATGAATGGAACCCAATTATGATTTACTTAATAAAAAGCATAAAAAATGTGTATAATGTTGAAAGAAATGTGCGAGGATGTGATGTGATGTAATATTATGCCGACGCCAAAGGGCGTCTAAAGTGTGATCTTGCTATCTCAGGGTTAGTGGGCGACCGAGCTGGAATTCTTTTATTCCGCTGTCAGCAGGAGATCAAGGTGGGATTTTGTTATGTCGACGCAAGTGGGAGACCGAGGTGAGATTCTATTATTTCGGGTTTGCAGGCAACTGAATTGGGATTCTATTATGTCGGGACCTTCGGGCTACTGAGGTGGGATATATATATATATATATATATATATGAATATTATTATTGAGATTCAATAGTTTTCTGCTTTATATTACATTCAATAGTGACTATGTGTAGTATATGAATTAGAAGTTTTATTTAGCACTTATCTAATTAAATATTGTGGTCAGTCTTGCCATAATTGAGCACAGTATGACTTGTGTGATATCGGGTCGATTTATGAAAAGCTTTTTTTGTATTAGAGAAGGTTGGAGAAGCAAGTCGTAATAGAGCCATAGGATTTAATATTTAGAAGTGAGATGCTTTTGAATAATTTTGGATGATCATTTTATTT